CTTGATTGTTGTTGGTATCACTGGGAGGAATTGACCTCCAGGCCAATTGACTGTGAGAATCAGCTGTGTCTGCAGTGGGAGAACTTCTGTGCTGGAGACACCCCTCCGGGGCAAGACTTTCTTCAATGGGACTTTGGTGCTCACTGAGTCTGCCCCCTGAGTGTGTCCCTTATGGATCTGAGGAGTTGTAATCTGGATGGTCCCACTCTGACCACTGCGTACACTGGCTCTTGGATCTAAGGAGGTGCTAATTTAGCCTCTGCTTGGAGTTACCCAGCAGGAGCTATGAAGAGATCTGCAGATTCCCCTTCCTTTTTTGGAGTTTGGAGGTGCCCAGATGAGGCCCAGCTGTGAAGCAATGCAAGCTGCTGTGGGGCCTTGGGCCTTCTCTTGGAAGTTCTGGGTCTGTCTGGCCCAGCTGCAATTTTTTAGGTAATTTTTCAGGTTGCAAAGGGCTAGGGCATTCATATGCAAAAGCCTCTGCTGCAGCCTGGATGGGGCGGGGTCTCAAGGAATCAACAGGGCGGAGCAAGCAGCTATGGCTGATCCTCAGCCCTGCCCTAAGGGGCCCAGTGTCTCAGTGTCCTGATAATTGCTGCAAGCACCTCTGAGGGAAAGCCGCCTTCAAGTTCCGAGTTCTGCCTGCTGCCAGACAGTCCAGTTGCTCCCCGTATGAGTCCTGGGTCCCCAGAGACTTCCCGGAACCGGAGTTCAGAGCAGTCGGGAGCTTGTGACTCCCTCCCGATTCAAAAAGACAGCTGCGTCCTCAGGTGCCAGCCCCTTTCCACACGCGCGCTCGAGCCTCCATACCTCTGCACTTTACTTCCGCAGCTCCTCTGAGTCTCAGTGTGCTTTTCTCTTTCCTTCTAGTTGTAGAATTTCCACTCAGCCAGCCTTCCTGTAGTTCTGGATGATGTCCGTTTTGTCTTTTCATTGTATTTTTGAATACAATGTTTTTGAAGTTGTTTTGGGAGGCAGCAATTTCCTCCCACAACCTATGCCGCCATCTTGGTTTTCTCCTGTATACTAGTTTCAATAAACATTATCACACCCTGTCTTCTCAGAAACCTTCTCATAGCTACATCTTGGATAAATTAAGTAACGTAAACTAGATTGCACAGCAGAGCTCCAACTGCAACTTGAATGGAGAGCCCAAGGTCTTTCTGCCCCATCACCTGGCTAAAAGGAAGCTAAGTCCACCCTAAGCTTCTCCTCTCCTGAGCTCTCACCCCACCTCCTGCAGACACTCACACCAGAGCCCCCTTGACTAGGAACATGACCCATGTGTGGCCTTATTTCTACTAACTTGGATTCTCAATCTTGGCTGCAGATTGGAACAACCAGGAGCTATTTTTGTAAATTGATTTGAGAGAGAGAGAGAGAGAGAGAGAGAGAGAGAGAGAGAGAGGTGAGAGACATCAATCAACTGCCTCCTGCCTAAACCCTGACCAGGGATCAAACTCAAAACCTGGGTATGTGCCTTGACTGGGAATGGAACCTATCGCCTTTTGGTGCATCAGATGATGCTCCAACCGATTGAGTCCACCAGCCAGGGCAGGAGATATTCTTTAAAATACTAATGCTTGGGTCTCAACCAAAATCTTTGGGGGTTGTCCCCCAACATCAGTACTTTTTTCTTTTCAATTGAGATAAAATTAATTATTTTAACAATTTTCAAGTGCATAGCTCAGTGGTTTTAGCAATGTTGGAGATACACCACCACTGTCTAATTCTACATTAGAACATTTCCATCACCCCAGAAAGAAACCCTGAACTTCCCAATTCCCCTGGTCTCTGTCAACCACTAATCTACTTTCTGTCTCTGTGAATTTACCTATTCTGGACATTTTATATAAATGGAATCACACAACATATACCGTCATGTGACTATGAATACATGCTTTTAAAAACTCAGATGCATCAAATACATTCACATCCAATTTTTCCAACTCTGCACTAAGACACTGATTCTTAAATTTGATGGGCATCAGAATCTCCTGGTGGTTTTGTTCATACAGACTTCCAGCTATACACCCAGTGTTTCTGATTCAGCAGGTCTGGGGATGGGTCCTGAAAATGTACATTTCTAACAAATCCACAGATGATACTGATACTTCTGTTCCAGGAACCAAACTTTGAGAACCACTGCATGAGCCTAACAGTATTGAGAATCAAAAGAGTGAAATGATTTTACACACACACACACACACACACACACACACACACACACACACACACACCCTGCTTCTCCCTTCCTTTAGCCAACAAGCTATAGAGACCTATTATGTCACTTTTTCAAAGATACAGGCTATCCCTATCCATATACCAGAGTACACTCTGGCCCCACCCTAATATAAACTCCCCAGTAAGACCCTCAGAAGATATTTGTTAGATCTTCTCCTTCCTTCAGTGATAAGACTTAATATCTCTCAAGGATCTTTTCATTTCAGTAGCTTAAAGACAATAAGCCTTCAGACATGAAGGGGTGAAGCTATTTGGGGGTGGTAAAGGTTTTGGAATTCATGTTGTGAAATCATGAGTCCCACAGCTCCTCCAGAATTACAATCTTCCAGGAGACTCAAACTGACCCCTCTGTCAGAGACTAGTCCAAAATCTTTTCTAAAGTCAAATTTCATCTAATAATGCCCTCTCATGGCCAAACAGAATCCTACATTTGATCTTATTTACCTTCCAGCAATTACTAGGAACTAGTGATGAGCCAGAGCTGGCTTACACTGGCTCCTGAGAGCCAACGTTAAATTTTCAGGAATTTTACAAACTGTTTTAAAGCATAACCATTGTGAAAAATTAAAGTATGCAAACTTATAAATAAATTGCATTAAATACAAAATTAAATACTCAAAACCAATCACTTTCCTAATTATTTTACTACATTTTACTGCTCCCTTTGTTCTCAGAGTTATTTACGGCTGTTGTGTCTATATCAAGACAATATTATATAATGATTTGCTAGTGAATATCTCTTTCCAACTCTGTATTCAATGATGACACATTAGTAGCCTGAAAGTAGGTATGGTAGGAGTATTTACACATGGAAATCAGCAAACTTTTTCAGAGAGCTAGTTGGATATACATTAAACATTTCCCAGCACACCACTTAATTGAAGCCTTGCCTCATGGAGCTCTGAGCAAGGTAGAAAGCAACCAACTGGGCGAAGCAAAAACTAGGGAAAATAAGCACAGTTTTGTCTAATATGGTAGCCACTAGACACATGTGGATATTTAAATTTAAACTTAAATAAAATAAATATAATTAAAAATTGAGTTCATTAGTTGCACTAGCCACATTTATATTTCCATCATCACAGAAAGTTCAGTTAGGACAGTGCTGGCTAGAAAATAAGAGTTTTCTCTCATGAAAATCACTGAGCACTGTTAGTTGCTATTATTATTCCTTTTCTGCAACTACTGTCCACACAATTAAAAACTTTTTATAGACTATCTCCTCTGTCGATGTGGGTCAAAGGGTACAAACTTCCAGGTAGTAGATGAATAAGTTCTAGGAATCTAATGCACAGCACTGTGCTTATCATCAACAAAACTGTATTATATACTTCAAAGTTGCCAAGAGACTAGATCTTATATATTCTTACCATAAAAATAAAATGATTATTATGTGATACAACAGAGGTGTTAGCTGATGCTACAGTAGTACTCATATTGCAATATATAAAACGTGTCAAATCAACATGTTTACACCTTGAACTCACACAATGTTATATGTCAGTTATATTAAAAAAAAAACTATTCCTAGAATATTTGAATTTTATTAACCAATGTTACCCTAATAAATTCAATAAAAATATATTGGGGTGGGCAAAAGTAGGTTAAATTATCAGCCATCATTACCTAAAATATAAATCATAAATAAGGATACACAATAATAAGGAGAATAACAAATAATATAATAATTAATATATAAATAATAAAATAAGAAAAAACTCCTTGTTTCATGTAGTACAACTGTAAACCTGCTTTTGCCTATATATATATATATTTATATATATATATATGAATATTTTCCATGTGTCGGGCACTTGTCAGGGGCCTGAAGATAAATACAAATGTCCTCTGTTCTCAAGAGCTTACAGTCTAGTAGAGAAGGGAAAAAATAGAGAATTTAATATGATTTGTTGGAGCCTAAGATTAAGGTGTTATAGGAGCAAAGAAAAAGGGCACTTAACCATATGTGGGGGTGCCAAGAAGGCTTTTAGAGTTGAAGGTGCCTAAGAAGCCTGAGGCCAGATTTTAAAAAGGCAGGACATAGCTGCTGGGCAGAGGGAGTGTGGGGAGAGGGAAAGCAGTGAGAGGGAGTATCATAATGTTTGGGAGAAGCCAAGGAGTTCTGAACATAAAGTGCATGGGGCAGTGGTGACAATGATGCTCTGGGAATGGACCAAGTCATGAAAATCAGGCCAGAATGAGGGGGGTTTAGACCCTATCCTGAGGGCAACAGAGAGCTCCACAGAAGCTTTACTTATGGGAAAAATGGTAGCATTAACCCTTTGAATGGTCCAGCTACAACAGAGGCTGGATGTAAGATGAGTGATAGTGGTGGCAGTCTGGTTATGTTATAATGGAGTAGATCCACACGGGGGATGATTACAGCATAAACTAGGTCAGTGGGTGTATGTTAAAAAGGAGCAAAATAATCAAGAAATATATAAAGGAGGTCAAGGTAGCTGGTTTTAAGTGAAGTTAAGGAAGAGGGATGACTCAGGGTTGAGTCCAGGTTTTAGAGTGTGACAGTAGGACCTGGTAGTCACTACGTAAAGTGAGAATGAAATGTAAAGTGAGGATCTAGAGGAGTATCCCCCTTGGGGATTAACCCCCAAGCAGAGCCCATCCTCTGGTCCATTACACGGGACACGCTCAGCCTCCACACCTACAACTGTCCAGTCCTGGAACTGACAGGGAAATGGAAGGGCTACCTTGGGCTCTTTCTCAGATTACCTCACTGCACAATGATTGAATTTTCATGCTGTAAGAACCACGAGGCAGTCTTGGCTTGGTGGGATAGAGAAGACTTGAGGTCAGATTTCAGCATGTAGGAAGGTAATAGTATCCTGGGGTGGAATTTAAAGTTAGCAGGTCAATGTGGGCTTAGTTGAATGTTCTACCCACTGAGCAGTTCTCAACCTGTGGGTCTCAAACAATGAAAATACATCCTGCATATCAGATATTTCCATTACGATTCATAACAGTAGCAAAATTACAGTTATGAAGTAGCAACGAAAATAATTTTATGGTTGGGGGTCACCACAACATGAGGAACTGTATTAAAGGGTCGCGGCATTAGGAAGGTTGAGAACCACTGGAAACACATTTTTCTTGGTTCAGTATTACACTGATAACTATGACTTCGTTATATCACTACAGGAGGAAGAGTAGAAGAACACTCTAGAAAGCTAGAGTGGTAAGAAGCTGAGAACAGCCCACAGCAGTCATGAAGCACAAGAGAAATCAAAGAAATTAAACACTCACCTAAGCTGCATCTCCTGTGATAACCGTGGGTTTTGAAAAACTCTGAAGTCACATCACAGAACAGGCAACTGCAACCCCATAACGAAGCCAGCTCTGGAGTATCAATGAGTGAGTTCAACCTGCTTCTAAGTACATCATTGGAGGCACAGCAAGAAACAACTACAACTCTCGCTCTATTTTCATGTATATGTAAAGCTTGATGGGCCAGGAACTCTCTCCACACCCTAAATAGTATAAAGAAAATAGCTTAATGTTAATTTCATCCCAACTGCCCAGTTTAGACATCCCAAGGAAAAACCCAGTGCTAATGTAAATAGAGATACACACACTCTCTAGCCTACATAATAGAGGATCTTGTCTCCTAATCCACGTAGTTCCTTTCCCAGCCTCTGAATGACTAATCCATTCTCCTGTCACATTCCTTAATGAATGTCCTCTAAGAACTCTGGACTGGTAACTTGAACACATCTTTTTGTCCTTAGGTCAGTCCTCTAAACTAGCCCGACTCCACTGAACCTTCAATTTTGAATATCAAAAGAGCAGAGACTGGCAGAATTATCTTTGGGTAACACCAAAATGGGGCAATTGAGCCGTTGGAATTGTAGAACTTCAATATTTGAAAGGATTTTACTAGAGTTCATGTTGGATCAGAAGAATAAACTAGGTCCAAGATAATGAATTATACCTCCTATTAAAAAGTGCCACCTATTCATTACTAATATGTTTCTTTAAGAGTTAGTTTCTTTGAGCATGCTGTAAATGACACTCTGAATTTGTCCTGCAAGAATTAGATGTTTGTAAACAGACATATTATGTGCAAATGTTTACACTTTCAAATAAGTGTCATAAAAACACCAGTAAGAGATCAATGTTTATGGAAAGAAAGAAGAAAAAAGGGATGAGTGGGGAAGGAGATCACACTGATAGGATGCAACTATGGAAAAGGTCATACCAGTAGTCCTCAAACTGTTAGCAAATCAGAATCACATGGAGGCCTTGTTAAAACACAGATGGCTGGGTCCATTTCCAGAGTTTCAGAGTCAACAGGTCTGGGTTGGGTCTGAAAATTTACATTTCTAACAAATTCCAGATGATGCTGGTGACTATTCCAGGTACCACACTTTGAGAACCATTGGGTTATATCTCTCCATGCCCACTGATCCCCAATGCCTACTGAAAAATCAGCTTCAGGTGCTGGGATTTCAGTGAAAGTTCTTATACAGCCTTTAGTGTAAGAGCTCAATCTTAAAATCAGTTGACTCAGATGTCACAGTTAGACAAAATCACATGACCAAAGCAATTAATGAAAAGTTTAAACCTGCATCCAGTTTTCATTTTGGAAAGGGCAGGAAAGTGTTAAGAAAAATATAGGAAGTGCCAGCAGGTCCATATTCAGATTAAAGAAACATTTTCTGTTTTTTCTGTGACCAACCAAGTACCATACAGATTCCATTGTCAATATCCCCCCATCACTGCCCCAAATTTGTGTTTTCTAGTTCAACTAAAGTTGAGAGGAATCTCAGACCATAATTTTTATTTTATTTTATTGTATTATTTGAGTAACTTTGAATTGAATTATCATTACTCATTTTGGGGGAGGGAGTTCTGTGAGATCAAAATTTTTTCATAATAATTAAGATGTTTATTTACCTTTTTTACTCTAATTCTCTTACAAGTGTATGGTGGAGTTTTCTAGAAACTATGTGATATGTGATCATGTTATCATTCTGATGTTAACATGCAATGAGTTTATTACTGTTGTTTGTAAAGAAATTAATAAACAATATTCTTTGAATTTCTTAGTTTTAGTATCTAAATATGGTACGTATCACTAGCTGTAACTATATAAACAAAAGGTCTTTGGCATCCTCAATACTTTTTAGTAACATACAGATCCTAACAAATAACTAATAACCACATCATCATTAGACATTTCAGACATGCAGATCAAAACCACAATGAGATTCCATGTCATACCTACTAAGATGACTTTAAACAAAACGAAACAAACAAAAAATTTAAAAAAAGGAGAAGCCTGGCCAGTGTGGCTCAGTGGTTGAGCATTGACCTATAAACCAGGAGGTCAGAGTTCAATTCCCAGTCAGGGCACATGCCCAGGTTGTGGGCTCGATCCCCAGTACGGGCATGCAGGGGGCAGCTGATCAATGATTCTCTCATCATTGATGTTTCCATCTCTTTCTCCCTCTCCCTTCCTCTCTATGAAATCAATGAAAATATATTTTAAAAAAGAAGAAGAAAGAAAAGAAAAGAACAAATGTTGACAAGGACATGGAAAAACTATGGAAAAATAGGAATCCTTATACATTGGTGGTGGAATGTAAATGGTGGTGCAGCCACTGTGGAAAACAAGTTGGCAGTTCCTCAAAAAGTTGAACATTGAGCCCTACCTGGTTTGGCTCAGTGGATAGAGTGTCGGTCCATGGACTGAAGTGTCCTGGATTTGATTCCCAGTCAATGGCACGTACCTGGTTGTAGGCTTGATCCGTGGCCCTGGTCAGGGGGTGTGCAGTAGGCAACAAATTGCTGTGTCTCTCTCATATTGATGTTTCTCTTTCTTTTGTTCACTCCCTCTAAAAAATCAATGGGAAAATATCCTTGGGTGAGGATTAACGACAACAACAACAAAAAGTTAAACACTGAATTACCACATGATAGCAATTCTACTCCTGACTCTAATTCTAGCTATGTACCCAAGAGAAATGAAAATCTATGTCCACACAGAAACTAGTACATGACTGTTTATAACATCACTATAGCCAAATAGCCAAGAGGTGAAAACAACCCAAATGCCCATCAATGGAAAGGTATTGTTAAAACACAGATGCCTGGGTCCATCTCCAGAGTTTCAAGGTCTGGGGTGGGCCTAAAACTTTACATTTTTAACAAATTCCAGGTGATGTTGATGATTCTGCATGATGATACTACACTTTGAGAAACAGTGGTCCAGGTACCACACTTTGAGAACCACTAGAAATTGTGGGATGTCCATACACTGCAATATTATTCAGTCACAAAAGGAATGAAGTACTGATACATGCTACGATGTAGATGAGCCTCAAAAACATTATGCTAAATGAAAAAAGCCAGATGTTGTATGATTCTTTTATATGGCATATCCAGAATAGGCAGCTCCATATAGACAGAAAATAAATTAGTGCTTACCAACGCATGGAAAGAGTAATCACTTAATGGGTATTCATGTTTTCTGGGATGATAAGCACAACAACTCACTAAAAGACTGAAACCTAATCCCTAATTGTAGCATGGTGGACCAGTTCCCTCCCCCAACCTCAACACCACGTCAATAGTTCGCCTGTATGGTAACAGGGAAAAGCAGCTAAAAGAACCCCACATCTCATACTCTACTTAAGAAGTCTCTCCAGAAACCCAGAGACAATAGGAGAGACAAAGACACTAGAAAAGATTTTTGCCTCTTACCTCACAGCAACAGCAAAGAGTAAACACAACCACAACCTAACTCCTAGCCAGATAAACACAAAGCCTCACACCAAAGGCCTGCTTACTTCAGTTCCTTTTGTCTACTACATCATGTCCAGCTTTCAACAAAAAATTACAAGATACACTAAAGGACTGCAGACACAGCTGACTCTCACAGCCAGTTGGCCTGGAGGTCAAATCCCCCCAGTATTAACTACAACAATCAAGGCTTAACTACAACAAGACTGCGCACAAAGACCACTAGGGGGTGCACCAAGAAAGCATAAAAAAATGCGGAGACAAAGAAACAGGACAAAATTATCAATGGAAGATATAGAGTTCAGAACCACACTTTTAAGGTCTCTTAAGAACTGTCTAGAAGCCGCCGATAAACTTAATGAGATCTACAAGAAATCTAATGAGACCTCGATGTTATGATAAAGAACCAACTAGAAAGTAAGCATACACGGACTGAAATAAAGAATACTATATAGACTCCCAACAGCAGACCAGTGGAGCGCAAGAATCAAGTCAAAGATTTGAAATGCGAAGAAGCAAAAAACACCCAACCAGAAAAGCAAAATGAAAAAAGAATCCAAAAATGCGAAGATAGTGTAAGGAGCCTCTGGGACAGCTTCAAGCGTACCAACATCAGAATTATAGGGGTTCCAGAAGATGAGAGAGAGCAAGATATTGAAAACCTATTTGAAGAAATAATGACAGAAAACTTCCCCCACCTGGTGAAAGAAATAGACTCACAGGTCCAAGAAGCGCAGAGAAGCCCAAACAAAAGGAATCCAAAGAGGACCACACCAAGACACATCATAATTAAAATGCCAAGAGCAAAAGACAAAGAGAGAATCTTAAAAACAGCAAGAGAAAGAAACTCAGTTACCTGCAAGGGAGTACCCATACGACTGTCAGCTGATTTCTCAACAGAAACTTTGCAGGCCAGAAGGGAATGGCAAGAAATATTCAAAGTGATGAATACCAAGAACCTACAACCAAGATTACTTTATCTAGCAAAGCTATCATTCAGAACTGAAGGTCAGATAAAGAGCTTCACAGATAAGGAAAAGCTAAAGGAGTTCATCACCACCAAACCAGTATTATATGAAATGCTGAAAGGTATCCTTTAAGAAGAGGAAGAAGAAGAAAAAGGTAAAGATACAAATTATGAACAACAAACATGCATCTATCAACAAGTGAATCTAAGAATCAAGTGAATAAATAATCTGGTGATCATAATAGAATCAGGGACATAGAAAGGGAATGGACTGACTATTCTTGGGGGGGAAAGGGGTGTGGGAGATGCGGGAAGAGACTGGACAAAAATCGTGCACCTATGGATGAGGATAGTGGGTGGGGAGTAAGGGCGGAGGGTGGGGCGGGAACTGGGAGGAGCGGAGTTATGGGGGGAAAAAAGAGGAACAAATGTAATAATCTGAACAATAAAGATTTAATTTAAAAAAAAAGAAATTTCAAAAAAAAAAAAAAAAGATACACTAAAGCAAAAAACAATCAGTTTGGAGAGACAAAGGCAGCATTAGAACCAAATTCATAATGGCAGAGATGTTGGAATCATCAGACTGGGAATTATTTAAAACCACTATGGAAAAGAAATCGTTTTGCCTGGCTGGTGTGGCTCAGTGGTTGAGTGTTGACCCATGAATCAAGAGGTCACCGGTTTGATTCCCTGGGTTGTGGCACATGCCTGGGTTGTGGGCTCGATCCCCTGTAGGGGGCATGCAAGAGACACCTAATTGATGTTTCTGTCTCTCTGCCCCTCTCCCTTCCTCTCCCTCTAAAATGATTAAAACCTTTTAAAAAATAAATAAATCATTCTGACACCTATGGCTATGTCCTCCTAAATCTATCCTTCTATTGGTAATAAAAAAACCCCAGGTTTTAGTGGAACACATCCCTCTCCCCAGCTAAGGATAATGTTTGCTAGCCTCCCTTTCAGCTAGGTGTGGTCATGTGACTAAGTTCTGACCAACAAGACCTGAACAGAAGCAAAGTGCAATTTTCAGGATGTGTCTTTGAAGAGAACAGGTATGCCTTTCCCCTTCTTTGTCTCTTCCACTGGCTGGCAGGTGGTCTTTATAGTGGGTGTTAGGACTACCAATGTGATAGAAACTGCATGTTAAGTTTGACTGGGAAACAAAACCAACGGAGCCTGGATGCCTGACACCATAGAGGTGCCACACCAGGACAGCTTACACTTGGACTGTACCTAAGACAGAAAGATTCTCCCAATCAGGACACTGTGATTTTTTCCCCTATATCAGCATCCTATAACAATTATCCGTTCTTACTAATATATGACATATACATGCTCCTCTACCAAATTTGGCTTATACTGTCATATTAGCAACAAAATATTTCAATAGAAAATGGGACAAGAATTAGCTTTCAATACTTAAGCATGATTTCATGTAAATACATGTTTTTGTTTCCATAAATATTATCTTAAAATTTTTCCCACTAGGAGGTAAATAAGTATACCAGAGAAAATGGTGTCAATTGCTTGTGGTAATATGACTAGTCCCTTACTCATCTTCAAAGAATGACTTCAATTAACTTACAATGTCCCTGAAGTCTTTCCAAATATGTTGGCTTACAGGAGATGTTCCTATCAGATGGTGGTTTCTGGCCAAGTTAGGAATTAGAAAGAGATTTTCAAAGTCAATCTCTGTTATTCCATTCCTTTTTTCAAGAATGTCTTCTTCCTCTTCTACAATATTGAGAAACATGCCTTTGTAGTTATACTACTGTTTTGGGAATAGGGACCAAAAGAAATATGTGGTCAAAAGATAAGAATTATCAAGCACAGTATTAGCATGTGTATCACTTAGGATTCTAAGTAGCAAATAATAACAAATCCAAAACAACTTTTCACATAACTGTGTACTCCTCAGTGGTAGTTTTCTTCATAGCTCAACAACCTTATCAAGAATGTATTTGGGTTTTTTTGTTTGTTTTTTTTCCCTCTCTCTCTTCTCCATTTCCAGTGATGTCAGCTTTAACCCATAGCAAGATTAACTTCATGTGGCCCTTACAATGTAAATATTCCAGAATTTTTATCAGATCATCATATCAAGAAATAAAAATAGCTCCTTTCCTAAGAATGTCCCAAAAAATGGCTTCTCTAGTCTTATTGATTCAAATTAAGCCTTATGTCTACCTTGCACAGTAAGATGACAGTTATTTCTTTAGGCGAGACCCACACATCCCACCCCTAGAATTAAGAGTGGAATCAGCTTCTCTTATTGGCTACTTGGAGTGGGGAGAATGGTAAACAAATGAAAAGTAGATTGTTACCAAGAGAAGGGAGAATGGATGTAAGCAAACATACTTTTCTTTATGGCCTATAAGAAAGTACCTATACTAATAATAGCCTAGGTGGTCGTCACGCCCTCATGCATCATGCCCTAACATCGTCACAAGATGGCCATCACAATAGGGTCATCACAAGATGGCCGCATGCACAGTGGAGGCAGGGCCTGGGGGAGAAGGTGGGTCACAGCAGGGGAGGGCAGTTGGGAGCGATCAGGCCGGCAGGGGAGCAGTTAGGCATAAATCAGGCCAGCAGGGGAGTGGTTAGGGGGTGATCAGGTTGGCAGGCAAAAGTGGTTAGGGGCAATCAGGCAGGCAGGCAGGCATTTGAGCGGTTAGGAGTCAGCGGTCCTAGATTGTGAGAGGGATGTCCGAATGCCGGTTTAGGCCTGATCCCTTCAGGCCTAAATCGGCAGTTGGACATCTCCTGAGGAGTCCCAGATTGGAGAGGATACAGGACAGGCTGAGGGGCACAGTGCCCCCCACCCCATGCATGAATTTCATGCACCAGGCCTCTAGTTATTTTATTAAAAAACCTAAGTTTTCAAATAATCATACCATTACAAAACTTAGAAAGTACTATCTCAAAGCTCAGTCTTGGGAATAGGAAAGAAAATGTGGACTTAGGCTTTATTAGGAGTGGAATGTGGGGTTTTTTTAAGGGCGTAGAGAAACTTCTTTAATGTTCTTCCATTGCCAATGTGCTAGGCAGTCCAAGTAAAATTTGGGCTTAGTATTTGA